TATAGCTGTCTCTGTTAAATTGCACTTATTTTCAGAGGAACTTAATTTGCAGAGTGTCAGTTGCCTTCTTACTTCATCCAAAGCTTCAAGAACTGTATCTTCTCAAATATAAGATTTAGCTTGGGAAATAAAGAAACAACTTGAAACTAGAGAAGGATTTCTGAATATGGGAGAATTTGCATCGCCACACTCCCCTTTCAAAAGTTCACCCAATTAACTTCTTCATCCAATTCCTACTCAGATTTAATAAAGTTAGTTGTAAAATAGTGATCCCAAAGCTCATTACAATGAAGTTCCAAACTGGAGGAACTGATAAAATAATGGGTCCTGGCAATAACTCAATCCACTAAAAAGCAAATGCTGTAGAGCTTAATGCCTTGTATACTGGGGGTGGGGGTAGCCCAAATCCCTTTAAAAAGTCTTTTTCAAGGCAGTCATGAAACAGTTCCATTGACTTCACTGAGATTTACACCAGAGAAGGAAAAAGGATCATGGCCAGCCTGTCTTTTTTGCTTGGGTGCCGTAATAGGTTTAAGACCTGATTGTTCCACTTAATAATCAATTGAGATGTCTCCATCCAGTTAGTTTTTCTAAATTTAGACTTAGCTGAAGCAGGAAAACATTCCATGTTTCAGGTACTCACCCTGCTGCCTCAACTGCATTCTTGGAAAGACAAACACCCCCCCCCCTTTAATTTGCTTAAACTGTCCCCTGACAACCTTTTGGGAGAATCTGAGAGGCAGTGAGAGAAGAGGATTGAATTTCAAGTGGGGTTGTCCTTTGCAAAACATTTTTCTCCCCCTTCCATCCATTGCTACAAGTCCCACTGAGCACAATACCACTTTTTAATTCAAAGCCTTAGCAAGCTGAGAGCACCCTGTTTCTTTTCTGGGGTTCTAATTGCTGTTTTTGACCTAGTGCAGTTGTTGTCGAGTTGCCCTAGTGAATGCTCACCCCAATTTAGCAATAGCCTGACAACTGGGACTGCACTGTTCCTATCAAGAAAATGTTTGGAGGTGCCAAGCCCCCCCCCCTCTGTGAGACTAGCGAGGCAGCACATCAGAAGAAGGGAATGGAGTAGAGGGAATCTACCTGCTGTCCTCCAGCTGTGTTGGACTTCAACTCACATCAGCCCTCAGCCAGCAATTTCATAGCATCATGTTGTGGGATTTGTAGTTCAAAGCATAGTTCAAATTACAGATGTGCCAGAGAAAATGTGGTAGTCCTAACCTTTAGCAAAAGTATTTCCCAAATGAAGCTGCAGATTAATTAGCATTGATTAAATGGGGAGGGAATCCCAGGTGTGCAGCAAAGTCCTGCCTTCCTTCCCTTCCAGTTTGCCTTATAACTGAAAGGCAGAAATATAACTCGTGTGGTCCTTGAACCTCTCTCCCAACCCATTTTTTTGAATGAATGGGGAGGAGGCATTATCACTCCTCCCTCCCCAAAAAACTTGGTTTAGGTATGCACTGGAAGACTAAGATAAGATTCAACCATTTGCTCCTTTTGGGTGTCCTCTACAATCAGGGTGAGGAACTTTACCAGGTGGGAATACAGAACCTAAAACTCCCAGCTGCCCCAGGTAGCACAGCCAGTGGAGAAGGATGCTGGCTGGGAGTTCTAATTCAGCAATCCAGAGATGGCTATAGGTTTCCCATGGCTGAAGTAGAAATAAGGGATGTATTCTTAATAGTAGTATAAGGCTGAATTTGGAGGAGGGGGGAGAATCTTTTTTATCCTCACGAGTCCTCTGCCCCCTTTGCATTTTGTAAAATTTGCTAACCTAAATAAAAAATTACACAGCAAAATTCTATTAATCTATTCAGAAAGTACTCCCACTGTATATTCCCAAACCAGTGGACACAGGATTGGGGACCCAACAATTCCCATAGGGTTTATTCTAACATAGGCATTGTACCCTAGCACTGTACCAACTGGCTTGGTGAGTAAGTCCTATTAAACAGTATCATTCCACTTATTTCCACGTGAAAGAAACCAAGAGGAACAACCCATTTCCTTTAGACAGTGTCCCCTGTTCGTTTCAAGGAGCTCCCCCCACCATCTTTTGTGGATTTCAATCACCTGTTCCTGGCTTTTTTCCCCCCTTTGATGTACAGGTACAGAACCATTTTTGCCCCTGTTCATTCCCTCTCTCCCCCTCATTTCTTCTGGTACTGAATATACCACTCTTTGAAAGTAGTGTCCCTTGGAACCAAACACAGCCAACTCCAAATTCAGGACTTTTTAAAAATTCCATCATTTATTTGAAAATTATCTTGATCAAGAGTTTCATGAACCCATGTACACATACACATGCTTTGTGACAGGCAGTTTCTGAAAGTATTCTTCCTTTTCAGAGCAACACTTTTTGCTGGGTTTCTACTTGGGCCTCCCTCTCCTGCTTTGAAAGAGTTTGGCTGGACCCCAGCTGATGAGAAGTTGTCAGGATATAACCAGCAAAGCATCTGTTTCTTGGGGTGGGAGTGAAGGGAAAGGAACATCAATTAGGTGTAGCAAACAAGCTCACATCAATGGGGTGGGGAATCATATTTATTTTTAAAATATATATATTTATATGTATATTTTCATTGAAATAAAAAAAATTAAAATGAAAAACTGATAGCCTGCATTTGTTTAAACATCAGAGTTTTACAGGTTATAAATAACTGAATCCCTGCAGTTCATAGGGAGAGGTATGTGCAACAAGATCCCAAAAGTCCAGTTTTTGGAAAACCCGGCATTTGTATTTTTTAATAGCCTTTTCAGCCCAGAGGTGATGTGCCATTAAGCATTCTTAAACAAAACCCTGATTCCATTATTTCAGTGTCTAAAATCATGATTCACATCCAGTTACATAGTTAAAGTAAGCCTAGAGCTTACTTTAAATCAGTTTAAGACTGCAGTTCTAGAGCAGAGTTTATTCCAGAATACATGTGATGAAATTCAGCGGACTGACATCCATAAAATCACTTTGTAGTCCATTCCCCGCCCTGCCAGTAGAACTCTCTGGGCCCCAAGGCAAACCCCTCAATACCCACCTCCCAGCATTAGTCACCATTTAAAAAGCTAGTGCTTATATTCAGGGGAGAGGAACTTGCTGGTGCCTGGGGTTCTTGGGGGGTGGGGGGGAAGCCACCCCACCAGGTTGCATCTGAACTAGCACTATTGGATCTGGGCTGAAAAACTCTGGAAGGCTACTAGATGGCAGCAAAGAATTAGAGTTTTCTACATCGATTGGCTGCCATCTAGTGGTAGCATTAGTCAGTACTGGGAATGGCTGCTGTAGTTCAACCCTAACCCTAACCCTAACCCTGGAGAAGTTGCAACCGCCTGGCCAGGGCCCGTTATGCCTGTTGACCCTCTCCCATTCCTTGGCTGTATATATGCCATACTGCTCCCCCCTCCAACACTTAAGAATTGCTTTCCTGCAGATTAGCACACTCTGGCCTTACAGGAGCCCAGCATTACAGGAGCTTCCTTGCTGGAAGGACAGGGCCTGGCATGACATTTGATGATCTCCCAGTTGCCAGATGAGTCAAATGCACAGGGTGCTTGAGTCCACTGGCCTCGCTGCTGCTGCTGCCGCCGCTGCATAGGCATGTTTCAGAGGGCTCTGACCTCCCTGGCTCCCAGCTGTGCTGCAATTGGGCTCTCCTCTCCCCAGGCCACTATATGGAGCTGAAGCATGCTTACCTAAGTAATGCATACACAGACGCGAAGCTTCTTGCTTGGTCTAAAGCTGCTCTGGGAGTTTAGCTCCCTTTGTGTCCCCTGGAGCTTGCTCCAAGCTGAAAGATGCGCAGGAGTCAGCCTTGATTCAAGTTCACCAGAGACTGGCAACCCGGCACCTTCCAAGTATTTGGATTTTAAATCCCATCTGCCCTAGACAACATGACCCATGGGAAGGGCAGAATTAAGTCAGGTAGTTTATCCCTCACTTAATACAGTTGAGGCTTTTGTAGTTTCAGTTTTTCACTGGCCAAGTATCAGCACCTTTGATAGCAGCCCTGCCTGTTCAGGAGCACCCTTAATAAAGGTTAGCATCCTTATTTAAGTTGGCTTGTGACTACTGCTGAAACTCCCAGTTTCAAGCTCCAATGCAATTAACAGGTACCTGAGAACAAGCCCAAATGAATTTAATGGGACTTACTTCGGGGTAAGTACATGCTTTAATTACAGCCCTGGAGAAAGGATCCCATTTTTCGATGCCCACCAACCATCGAACAGCCAACCATCGGCAGGAAACGGTTTCCCTTCAACCAATCGGAAAGAAGCTCTGCTGTCCATCTTAGAGTCCAACCTTTCTTTTTTTTTTTAAAAAAAAAATCTGAATAGCTTTTTGGTTTCGGTCTCAAGAAAAACAAAAACAGCGTTAAGGCACCGTCTTTTTATCTTCTGAGTCTCTGGAATTTTTTTTCCTTTCTATTCTTTTAAAGTGCGTCGGGAGCCCGTTCTCGTCTGTCCTCACGTTACCCAGCCCTTCGCTAGGGAGGGGTCTTAGCCTGTTCGATCGTTACACCGATAGAGTTTCTGTTGCGTAAGGCCTATAGGTGTTGTGACTGGCCCCCACCTGCTGCAATGAGCTGGGCAGCCGGAGGGGGCAGTAGAGCTGAGAAACGCCCAGCGCTTGCAGCTGCGCCGAGGAAAGCCGGGGAGAGGAGAAAGAAGAGGTCCTGGCGGGGAAGGGCTGGTGGGGGTCGCGGGCACTCAAAGCCTTTCCCTTGGAGGCCTCTAGCAGCAGAGGGTCGTAGTGGTAAACGGCAGAGGCCGCCGCCAAGGGGAAAGTAGGGACGAGGCCGTAGGAGACGGCCGGCGGAGCGAGAAGCCGCGAGTAGCTCGCGGGGGCGGGCCACGCCACTACCCGTTCTCCCGCCGGCGTGGCGGGGGGCCGCGGCTGCTGTTCGGAAGGCTGGAACGGTCGGCTCAGGATGCTCTCAATAGCGAAGGGGCTGGAGAATTTCGTGCCGGCGGCCGAGGCGCCGGCGGCCGATCCCACGCCCGGTTCCCCCGGCAGGGTCTTCTGATCGGCGCTCGGGGAAGCGGGCGCGGGGGACGGCTGCGCCGAGGGGGAGCCCGCGGCGGTGGGGATGGGCCCTGGGCGGCTGAGCCGCTTCCTCCTCCTGCGGAAGACGCCGTCGGCGAAAGTGTACTCGGAGTTGGGGTTGAGCATCCAGTAGTTGTCCTTGCCCCACGGCCGGGCCGGGTCCCGCAGCACCTTGACGAAGCAGTCATTGAGCGACAGGTTGTGCCGCACCGAGTTGCGCCAGCCCGTGTAGGCGCCGCGAAAGAAA